ACATCACAACAGCAACTGGTTAACCCTCAGTGTCGTCGTCACCGCGCTGAGGTACACCACAACAGCAACCACCCATAGGCTGGCCATTCATGTACATCCTCGGTTAACCCCCAGTGTCGTCGACACCGCGCTGAGGTACACCACAACAGCAACCATCCTAATTGTCCGACAAAACTAGATCATACGGATCAAAATCTGACCATCAAAATTTGTATTGAACTGAAAAATACCGAATGTCCACACCCAAAGACCCCACTCGCCCGAGTGTTGGGACAAAACTGATAACGATATGCCTGATGCAGGATGTAAAATTCTGTCGGGCTAACGGCTCGTCAAAGAAATCTAACGTGCGAAGAAAAAAGAATGTACCTATCTGTGTGGTCACAAAAGTCCAAAACCCACGGGCTGCTCCCCGCCGACTTCCAGAGGGCGCAGCCCCTGTCGAGCGGGAGGCCTGATACGGTTGTGAGGTTAAGCAGGCATGTGCAGGACGTGACGATTCCTTGGGTGAGCCCAGAACCAGAGCGCAATGTGCCGGCTCTGCATGCATGGAAGCCTCCTTGGATGGCGGGGAATGCCCATGATCTGCCCCTGCCTTCCCTTGAGGGCTAACTGTTCCACAGGGGGCTGCCCCAAAGGGGTACTCCGAGGGCAATACCTGCGGAGGAGACAAAGTGGACACCACACAAATCAGGCAACGTCTCGACCCACACAAAACAATGGCCACAGTCAACCTAGAAATAGGCCCGACGTCTTCCTTCGAAGTCGGAGTACAGCTGCCCATGAGGCAGGGAAATGAAAAACGGTTGTACACGCAAAAATCAGGTCCAGGTGAAAGCCAAAAGTCCAAGCGGACGATTAACCGGGACCTTCCACTGGAATTCACAGCCGGTGATCGATAAAAAAAAAAAAAAAACACTTTGTATATTGATGTTGTGATCTATGAACACTTTGTATATTGATGTTGTGATCTTTGAACACTTTGCATATTGATGTTGTGATCTTTGAACACTTTGCATATTGATGTTGTGATCTTTGAACACTTTGCATATTGATGTTGTGATCTTTGAACACTTTGCATATTGATGTTGTGATCTTTGAACACTTTGCATATTGATGTTGTGATCTATGAACACTTTGCATATTGATGGTGTGATCTTTGAACACTTTGCATATTGATGGTGTGATCTTTGAACACTTTGCATATTGATGGTGTGATCTTTGAACACTTTGCATATTGATGATGTGATCTTTGAACACTTTGCATATTGATGTTATGATCTTTGAACACTTTGCATATTGATGTTGTGATCTTTGAACACTTTGCATATTGATGTTATGATCTTTGAACACTTCTTATTGGAAGACCTGAAACTTTGCTTTTTATTTTGTACAGCTATACAGAAAACACATTCAAAAAGTGAACTGTCGAATGCTATATTTACTCAACCCTGGTGTACTGACCAGGAAAGTGGACAGTAAACAAGAAACTAGACCATCCTATTAAATCTCTGGAGATGTAAATATGCAGAAGAAAATGTTGTATTTTGTGGAAACTAAATGAATCAAATGAAGAGGACTAGGTATGAGAAGATATTTTGCTGACAGCAATAAAATCAAGAAAATGTGGCCAAATTAAAAGACATAACACTCTTATAAAAAAGCATGCTAGAGGGAAAAGTTGAAGGTAATTGGGAGGAAAAGATACACAGCGGTACAAATGGATGAATAACATCAAGAAATAGACCAACAACAGTCTGAGTGAGTGTACATTCAGGGCACAAGTCAGAACATACTAGAGATTCATTGCAGTCAACAACCTTTATTGTGCAGATGACACCTGATTGATTGATTGATTGATTGATTGATTGATTGATTGTACAATGCTCCTGCTACATCTCTACGTTTCCAGTGAACACAGGCTCATTTATTCTCATCAGCTGGCAAATACGAGAAGGCAGTCATTGACAAAGTGATATCTATGCCCCCCGCCAGGTCATCACGTCTGTCTTTTGAGAGCCACATCACGAGCAGACGGGTGACCAATGCCTTTATCAACCTGGGGATTACAGGGATTATTCGCCGCTCCCGCTCCATAAACATTAATCCTGATGAACAACCTGGTAGGTAACCATGTCCTGTTTAATATTTGTCTTTTTCTTTTCTCTGCATTCCAACATCATCATCATGTTGTTGGGTCAGCAGCTGTAGTTGCCGTCTGAAGGCTAAAGATGATCTTCCTCTTCTTCTTCTTCTTTTTCTTCTTCTTCTTTTTCCTCTTCTTATTCTTTTTTTTTTTTTACTCTTAACTCTGGTGGATACTTCTGGCTGTTCATCCACACTGGACTCTAGTCTTGTTCCATAACCTGACTGTTTACAGATCTGACTCATGTGTAGGCAGATTGTGTTGGTTCCAGCCTCTCAGGCAGATGCACTCCGACTTCAAAGGAAGCTCTCTATTGGTAGATTCTTGCGAAAAGCTGTGGGTTAATTCTTTATTTCCTCACAGTGGGGCCCCGGAACCCACTAGGGATTAGGAGAATCAAGAATGAGAACTCTCTTAACACTGATGCAGCAAATGCCTTGATATTTTGGGTTAATATAATGTCCTCAAGTTAAAAGAGCGTTGACATCTCAACCCCAACACTAATAGAGCTGTAACAACTAAGCCCAATTAATTAATGCCTTCCCATTATTAGAGCTTTCTTAACAGCCTAAGTAACTTTCTGCAGTAGCAGAAGCTATAATCCCTCGATGGCAGAAGCAGTTGAAGAGAAAGTGAAAAATAAGAACCCAAACCAGAGTCCCTTCAAACTAACTGCATACTACTTAGCTTCTTTTCAGGTTTTGTAGTTTTTATTCAATAATTTTGGTAGTTTTTGTTGCACTATTAAATTACATTGTCACATGTCCACACACATGTCATCATTATCTCTCTCTCTTTCTCTCTTTTTATTTCCAAATCAGATCTTTTATCACCGCTAGCGCAACGTCGACGCAATAGTATCAAGTCTTTTGCAGGTGAGTATTGTATGTGTGTCACAGGTTATTCGGAGCTATATAGAGCCAGTCCTCATCCATGTGTTACTAGGCCACACATCGGAAGCAAAGAATGGTAGCACTGTTCCTACAAGGGATCTCATAAAAGACGACTATGGGTAGGCTTGGCTTGGAAATGATTACCTCATGCCACACAAAAACCATCCAACCATGGAAAAGTTAAAAAGAAAAACAAGTAATACCAAGATAACCAAGAAGGGTAATAGGATCTTCTACAAGAAAAATGATGACACAGTGCGGAGAATGTCGAAAGGCGTCCCAATAATCGACATCTCCTTTCATCTAGGAAAATCTTTAGATTCAGAACTAATCCTTGAACAGTGTAAAAAGGACATTAGAGATAGTAAGAGAAATGAAACGTTGTAGACTTCTTCTTCTTTTTCTTCTTCTTCTTCTTCTTCTTCTTCTTCTTCTTCTTCTTCTTCTTCTTCTTCTTCTTCTTCTTCTTCTTCTTCTTCTTCTTCTTCTTCTTCTTCTTCTTCTTCTTCTTCTTCTTCTTCTTCGACTTCTTCTTCTTCTTCTTCTTCTACTTTTTTCTTTTTTCTTAATTTTTCTTCTTTTTCTTCTTCTTCTTCTTCCTCTTCTTCTTCTTCTTCTCCTCCTCCTTCTCCTTATTTTTCTTCTTCTTCTTTATTTTTCTTCTTCTTCTTCTTCTTCTTCTTCTTCTTCTTCTTCTTCTTCTCCTCCTCATTTTTCTTCTTTTTCTTTTTCTTCTTCTTATTCTTCTTCTTCTTCCTCCTCTTCTTCTTCTTCTCCTCCTCCTTCTCCTTATTTTTCTTCTTCTTCTTCTTCTTCTTCTTCATTTTTCTTTTCTTCTTCCTCTTCTTCTTCTCCTCCTCCTTCTCCTCATTTTTTTTTCTTCTTCTTTTTCTTCTTCTTCTACTTTTTCTTCGTCTTTTTTTTCTTATTCTTCTCCTCCTTCTTCTTCTTCTTTCTTTTCTTCTTCTTCTTCCTCTTCTCCTCCTCATTCTTCTTTTTCTTCTTCTTCTTCTTCTTTGTCCTCCTCGTGTTTATGAGCTGTAAATTCTGGCACAGAGTTCTGGTTGTTCGTCCACATCTCGACCTCTGTCTTGTTCCAAAACTTGAGTTTTACGAACACATGTATTTTACAGGTCTGGCTTTTTTGTTTGCAGACAGTTGGCTCCTTACGTCTCAGGCAGATCCATTCCAACTTTGAAGTAAACACCCCAAATAGTGATCTTTTATGATATGCTTGTTTGGGTAGGAGTGGGTCTATACTTTTTCCTCCCAAAATCAGGTCCTAGAACCCACATCGTTAGTGTGATAAACAGTGCAGACCTGATAAGAAGAACTCACCAGGGACCAAAGAAATAGTTTTTCTTATCAGAAATGCCTGTTATCCAGATAGGGGTTCAAGCAAGAAAGGTTGCAGGGGATAAATAGATTGTTCTTCTCAACGGAAATTAGACACATCCGAGATTACCTGAAGCAATGTTGTAATATATCACTATGATTGCATCCATCCCCAGAGACTTCTGTATTATCATTACCTTCTAAGGTTGACTTGAGCGCATTTGGTCAGTATGTTTTCATACACTTCTTGGGTGTTTTTGCTGTTATTGGGCAGTAAATTTTATTGCTTTGATCATTGGTGTATTCTGTTAAAAAATGTACATTTATGTTGATTTTTTTTTTAGTTGACAATATTTTCACATTGTTTGATGATTTTGAATGATCCTTCTTCTTCAGGCAGCAGGTCCTTTGCAAAACGTCGCTTTCGCCTCGGTCTGCCTGAAAAAAATATGTCCCTCAGCAGCTCTCCCCACTTTCCTACCTAACGCAGCAGTAGGTTCAGATACACCCTATATGTTCCTCTTTTTGGTGGTCAGTCCACTGTGAACACACCTTCAGATGTTGCAGTATCATACAAGCAACGTTTGAAACATTCCCAGTTGACACCAGATTCTTTCCCTAGCGAAAATATGCTTCAACAATTAGTGTATTACTGCATCAATTTTAGTGATGGTTTTTCTGTTGCAACAGTCTGCGTTTGACACAGCAACAAAAGAATTGTCGTGAGTTCACATCCTTTCCGAAACATTCATGCCCAGTCTGTTACTGCTGTCTTCTATACACATTTATTACACTGCCTGTATTCTTCAATGAATGTCCACTGATCCACATCCTTCAAATTAAAGAAACTGAATCACCGCTCTTTGAGCTTCTTTTGGCCGATTTTGGATCAACCCAGAAATGTTTTAATGGTCAGAAATGGAACCTATGCATCATAGGATGATAAGCACATGTTCTTTTATTCATTGATCAGTGCTTCACACATGAATGTGTCATGATCATCTTCAGCACACACAATTACGTGCGGTACAGCACAAGAGATACCAGATTATTGCTCTTCATACTAATGGATAATATATTTTCTCATGTTTTTGGTTTGTGTGTGAGTGAGTGAGAGAAAGAAGGAAAGAGAGATGATTATATATTCTCATGTGTAGGGTTTCTGTGGGTATGTGAGTGAGTGAATGAGAGAGAGAGAGAGAGAGGGAGGAGGGAGGGCGAGAGAGAGAGATGAAAATACATTAGATGTTGTATTTTCTCATGTTTAAGGATAGTGCTTTGGCATCTGATACTTGCAGTCTGCCAGAATTGCTTAGGTCTTACATGTGGTATGTATAATACAAATAAAATATAACTGATATATCTTTTGCAGCTGATTCGTCACAGTCTGTTGAGAATTACGGAAGTAAGTTGCATTTACTCTTAATCAAACTAAATTAAGCTTCCGAGCAATACTTGATTAGTGGTACATAAATCGACCATTCAGAATACTGGTCCATATATAGTGACTGCACTGACCGGGGTTAGTTAGTGTTTGATAAAACTGTTTTGTTTTTGCAGTCTTGATATGTCGCATTTACTTTTGTGGTGAATGTAGCTGTCGTGGTGTGATAACGCGCACAAAGTAAACATGTTGGGCTGTGTTTTCACAGATATACTCTACCTATACTCATCTGCTTGCGAGTTATCGCTGGTTTTACAGGTTCTCTTGCTGGACTGCTGCCATTCCTCTGTTGTACCCTACTGGTGATGGCTATCATCGGCCCATATAGCATGTAGAGCATACATTGAAATCCATATTACATTGATTATAGCTGTCGTAAGCCTGTACTCCATTTATGATGGTGAGGTCATAGACACATATTGTACTACATTGATGGTAGCTGTTATAGACCCATATTGTACTACATTGATGGTAGCTGTCATAGACCCATATTGTACTACATTGATGGTAGCTGTCATAGACCCATATTGTACTACATTGATGGTAGCTGTCATAGACCCATATTGTACTACATTGATGGTAGCTGTCATAGACCCATATTGTACTACATTGATAATGGCTGTCGTAGCCCTGTTTTGAACTCCCTTTATGAAATTGTACTCCATTAATAATACCTATCATAGGCCCATATTGTACCCTATTCATGATAGCTTTCATCAACTTAAATTGTACCCTATTGATAATACCTATCAGTCCCATATTGTACCCCACTGAAAATACCTATTTTAGGCCCATATTTACCCCATTGATAATACCTATCCTAGGCCTATATTGTACCCTATTGATAATACCTATCATAGCCCCATACTTCAGCCCATTGATGATGACTATCACAGGCCCATATTTTATGGCATTTTTGTTTTCCCTGATCCATACAGCATGGTTTCTACCACAGCACACCACTGATTTACACAGCATGGTTTCTACCACATCACACCACTGATCCATACAGCATGGTTTCTTCCACATCACATCACATCACTAATCCATAAAGAATGGTTTCTACCACATCACAAGACTGATCCATACAGCATGGTTTCTACCACATAACACCACTGATCCATACAGAAGGGTTTCTACCACATCACACCACTGATCCATACAGCATGGTTTCTACCACATCACACCACTGATCCATACAGCATGGTTTCTACCACATCACGCCAATGATCCAAACAGCATAGTTTCTACCACATCACACCACTGCTCCATACAGCATGGTTTCTACCACATCACACCACTGTTCCATAAAGCATGGTTTCTACTACATCACACCACTGATCCATACAGAATGGTTTCTACCACATCACACCACTGATCCATACAGCATGGTTTCTACCACATCACATTACTGATCCATACAGCATGGTTTCTTCCACATCACACCACTGATCCATACAGCATGGTTTCTTCCAAATCACATCACTGATCCATAAAGAATTATTTCTACCACATCACAACACTGATCCATACAGCATGGTTCAACCACATCACATCACTGATCCATACAACATGGTTTCTACCACATCACACCACTGAACCATACAGCATGGTTTCTACCACATCACACCACTGATCCATACAGAACGGTTTCTACCACATCACACCACTGATCCATACAGAACGGTTTCTACCACATCACACCACTGATCCATACAAAATGGTTTCTACCACATCACACCACTGATCCATACAGCAAGGTTTCTACCACATCCCACCACTGATCCATACAGCATGGTTTCTACCACATCACGCGACTGATCCATACAGCATGGTTTCTACCACATCACGCGACTGATCCATACAGCATGGTTTCTACCACATCACACCACTGATCCATACAGCATGGTTTCTACTACATCACACCACTGCTCCATACAGCATGGTTTCTACCACATCACACCACTGCTCCATACAGAATGGTTTCTACCACATCACGCGACTGATCCATACAGCATGGTTTCTACCACATCACACCACTGCTCCATACAGCATGGTTTCTACCACATCACACCACTGCTCCATACAGCATGGTTTCTACCACATCACACCACTGCTCCATACAGCATGGTTTCCACCACATCACACCACTGATCCATACAGCATGGTTTCTACCACATCACATCACTGATATATACAGCATGGTTTCTACCACATCACACCACTGATCCATACAGAACGGTTTCTACCACATCACAACACTGATCCATACAGAATGGTTTCTCCCACATCCCACTACTGATCCATACAGCATGGTTTTTGCCACATCACACCACTGATTCATACAGCATGGTTTCTACCACATCACACCACTGCTCCATACAGAATTGTTTCTACCACATCACACCACTGATTCATACAGCATGGTTTCTTCCACATCACATCACTGATCCATAAAGAATGGTTTCTACCACATCACAAGACTGATCCATTCAGCATGGTTTCTACCAAATCAAACCACTGATGAATACAGCATGGTTTCTACTACATTACGCCACTGATCCATACAGCATGGTTTCTACCACATCATACCACTGATCCATACAGCATGGTTTCTACCACATCATACCACTGCTCCATACAGAATGGTTTCTACCACATCACACCACTGATCCATACAGCATGGTTCTACCACATCACACCACTGATCCATACAGCATGGTTTCTACCACATCACACCACTGATCCATACAGAATGGTTTCTACCACATTACACCACTGATCCATACAGAATGGTTTCTACCACATCACATCACTGATCCATACAGCATGGTTTCTACCACATCACACCACTGATCCATACAGAATGGTTTCTACCACATCACAAGACTGATCCATACAGCATGGTTTCTACCACATCACACCACTGATCCATACAGCATGGTTTCTACTACATCACACCACTGCTCCATACAGCATGGTTTCTACCACATCACACCACTGATCCACACAGCATGGTTCTACCACATCACATCACTGATCCATACAGCATGGTTTCTTCCACATCACACCACTGATCCATACAGAATGGTTTCTACCACATAACACCACTGATCCATACAGCATGGTTTCTACCACATCACACCACTGATCCATACAGAATGGTTTCTACCACATCACATTACTGATCCATACAGAATGGTTTCTACCACATCACATTACTGATCCATACAGAATGGTTTCTACCACATCACGCCACTGATCCATACAGCATGGTTTCTACCACATCACACCACTGATCTATACAGAATGGTTTCTACCACATCACACCACTGATCCATACCACATGGTTTCCACAAGAATGCCAACTGTCTAGACTTGAAATCTATTGGATGAAGAAAGCAGCACCTGTAGGGTATCTTGTGATGCCTGTCCACATAAGCAAATTATTGCCCGGGAATTCCCAGAAACTTCTGGAAATGGTCTGGTACCTGTTTTTTTTTAAGGCTAGGTCGACCCCAGAGCTGTACTGGGTGGGAACATCCTGCCACTTCTGAGGATTGTTCTTTGCCGCCATCTTCTTTGTGTTCACCTGCTTCAACTGCAACAGAGAGTTCTAGTTCTTTGTCTACTTATAGATTTTGGCCTGGTTCCAGAAGATGAGTTTTGTATGCATACCCGTTTCACAGATCTACCTCATTTGTGCACGCTGTTGGTTCCTCGCCTCTCGGGCAGATGCAGTTCGACTTGTCAGGGGGCATTGGATCTGCTATTGTTTGCCCAAGAATGTTGCCTGGAACCATCATAGGGAGTTCTGGAGATTAAACTTCGGTTGGGGGGGGGGGAGGGGGGGGGGGCAGGCAAGTTCGCTAACTATTATTTCACAGCAGCAAATAGTCAGATGAGCCATTTTTAAAGATCCCTGTTACTGCATCCTGTTGCAGATGTTTTCCACCATTTGCAAGATGAGGAGGACATATCTTCAGAAAATAACCGACAAACGCCGCGGCATTCCCAGCAGGGCGCAATTAAGAACCTGCCAGAAGATACGACTGATGAGGTGCAGCTTGTGGAGCAGCTGAAGGGATCCCGCAACCTGATGGAGCAGGCCGACATCATCCACTACTTGTTTATCCATAAGTGAGTACAGACTGACTGATTTGAGAATCCACATGGTAACTTAATGGTTGTCATCTGTGAGTAGTAGTCTTGTGTGTGTTGTAAACTTCTTTTGTTGCTATGGTTCTTTGTGTGTGTGTGTTTGTTTCTTGGGTTTCGAAAAAGGGGGGGGGGGGGGGGGGTTAGACCCAGTGCTGCCCACAATAAGCATGTCAAAAAGGCAATCAACTAATTACAGGTTTGCTGAAATCGGATGCTTTGGACCGAAAGGTGCAGATATCACAGCCTAGCTGTAAACCACAACCCATAATCCAGTATGCCAACCACCCTTTTAAGGGTGAACTCAAAAAAGGAAGTCACACTGTTACCCGGTTATACCCCAAAATCACAATTTTCTGCATTTGTCTTGCATATCTTAATCGACTTGAGTGATGGATTTGTTCATTTGCAGTATTTAACTACTCTGTCTAACCACCTCTTCTTTGATTCATTTATTCTTCTTTGTGTAGCAGCAGTATATGACACCACACCCTGATTGCTAGGCCCGTCACATGATAAGGCAAGAACAATTCTGACCTGCTTGGTACCCATCTCCTCCCATGCAAGCAATGACCCAACAGCCTGAAACCTCCTGTTTTCAGTTTTCATGTGTTTTATCAGCACCTTACCATCTTTCCAGACTATAGTGTTCTGTTGTGCTATAGGGAGACATGGGACTCACAGCTGATAAGTTTACACACAGAATGTTCCACTGCTACCGTATTTAGGGTGCAAGAGAAGGAAAGTGCTCCAAACAAATAGACAGCACTATACTTTGCCTAAGCCACATTGAAATCATTGCAGCTTTAGTCTGTATATAAATGTATGTACAAAGTAAATAATATGTGTGTAAAGGGCAATTTTTCTGCTATTTTTTCTTGGAAACTTTACTCAGCACTCTGTGAGAACTAAGAACTCTTGAGTGCTAAAGTAACCCAGAAACTTAACACAATTTTGGGAATTTGTTAGGAAATTGAACAAACTTTAAAGTATTATTTTCAAAAAATGGATATTCACCGCTCTTGTCGCTGCAAAACGATGGTAAGGGAAGAATGTTTTTATTTCTAAAATAATGTTTGTGTGACATTAACACCTGCTGAATTCTTCTTTCCTACTAGCTGTAACAGTATTAAACATATACTTATCATCATATTCAAAATGTACATTTATTTTTCTTTAAAAATATATGTTCTTTTATAGGGATTAGAAGTCAATTAAATTCTCTATTGGCTTTTTTTGTACACCACCCCCATTTGCCATTTTCGTAAAGGAAAATTAATCTAGGCAAAGTCTGTCAAAATTCATGGACCTGAAAGAGTTAAGAAGCCTCCAACTCTCGTATTGACTTGACATACTTGTATTCCAGTTTTTCTTTCTCGTGTGCTAAAATAGTAAAGATTAACTCCTGCTGCTGCTGGCAACCAGGCCTACTCATATGTTAATTTTAGTCCAGAAATCTTCATTACTCAGTCTATCTGTCCATTGTACTTGAGTTGAGTTTATGCTCTAAGTGTGGGTTTTAAAGAATAGACCCACTATCCGTTGTCAAGTGTGTCGTAAAGACGACTAATTGTTTTGCTAAAATCAGATGAATTAGTCTTCAGTGTGCAGATATTACTGCCTGGCTTTAAACTACAAAACCACAGGCCAACCACCTTTTAAAGGTGAAGGCCATGGAGAAAAAAAACTCATGTGATTGCTGTCTTAGGCATTCATGCTGCTCAGATATTATTAGGCCTATGAATTGTGTTCCTGCTTTCTCATTCAGAGGTCCATACTGGGACACAGGCTTGGAGGAAGGAAATTTGGTTCCAGTGATAGACCTTCTGAAGGAGCTGTATGACAAGGTAGGATCTTTAGAGTAGATCAGCACGACCTTCTAAAGTGGCTGTATGACAAGGTAGGATCTTTAGAGTAGATCAGCAGGTCCTTCTAAAGTAGCTGTATGACAAGGTAGGATATTTAGAATAGATCAGCACGACCTTCTAAAGTAGCTGTATGACAAGGTAGGATCTTTAGAGTAGATCAGCAGGTCCTTCTAAAGTAGCTGTATGACAAGGTAGGATCTTTAGAATAGATCAGCACGACCTTCTAAAGTAGCTGTATGACAAGGTAGGGTCTTTAGAATAGATCAGCAGGTCCTTCTAAAGAAGCTGTATGACAAGGTAGGATCTTTAGAGTAGATCAGCACGACCTTCTAATGGAGCTGTATGACAAGGTAGGATCTTTAGAGTAGATCAGCACGACCTTCTAAAGTAGCTGTATGACAAGGTAGGATCTTTAGAGTAGATCAGCAGATGTTGCCGCATCTTCTCTCTACACTGAGGTGGTGCTGGCTGGACCATTTGACCAAAGATTAATTTTGATATCTACTGTGCTAGGCAGAGGATGTCTCTCTATGTACATTGGCTAGGACAAGCCACCCAGTATGGGGATCTCACAGAATGAAATTTCTACCTGCTGTGAGTATTTTGCGAGAAAAAAAGATTAAAGTCAAGATGGCTTGGTCTTCGCAGACAGAATGGCTAGCCACCTCCTAAGAGCATCACACAGAGCATGAACTCCATAGCTCCAGTGACGATCCGGAGGGATCTCCATAAAAATTGCTCTCGTGAACTGATCGATGAAAGAAAGTCATATCCATACACAAGGAGACAGTCTACATTCTCTGGTTATGTCATGAGAATGAGAAAACTGGAATACACAGTGTCAGTGGGAAAGTTGGTGGGGACAAGAGGCAGAGGGAGACCAAGAGAGAAAATGCTGGACAGTTTTGATATCGTGGCATTGAGGATTATCTGTGTCAGAAGTGATTACAAGTACACGCGACAGAAGGTTGTGGATGGACTTGACTACCAGTGTCACACGGCATGGACTATAAGAAGAAGTAGATATCTAACGAACCTGGCGCAGCAAGGAAGTGGGTGGAATGCAGAGCATGGATTGGATATTAGCATTTAGAGAACAAAAGCTGTGATAATTAGCAATGGAAAGGAGCGGCAGTGGATAAGAGACTCGCTTTTAAATCCAGCGGCGACTCGCTGCAGCCCATGGCCAGTGTTTAAAACCAAGGAGGTTCCGGGAGTTCACCCAGCCTCTAATTAATGAGAACCAGGGTTAACACTCTGGGGTAAATGGAGGAATGTCGCTGTAGCTACGGAGTTGCATGCGGATGGCGACACAGGCAGGCAGTTTCTTATCAACTGTCTGTACTGATGGCAGAGCACTTATGGTTTATTACTGTGTGCAATGATGCTGGTTCACATCTCCCGACTTTACCTTTACCTTTTACACAATAAGGGTTGATGGCAGAAGTGGAACTGCAACAAACAAACAAAACTGGAATAACCAAAAAAAAAAAAAAAACGAGAAAAAAAACAACAGTTACTGACATCTGGAGAAAGGAAAAGCCCTGCATATTAAATATATTTTTATTTAAATATCACATTTTAGATCGAATACAAGTGCTTTGTGAAAGATGAGTGTTTGGAATGGCCAGATGTAAGATGGGCCTGTGTGCATAATTTGTATGCATAGTAGACCTTTTGAAAATCACCCTTCCCTCATTCACCGGCTGTAAACTGCGGGGGAAAGTCCTGATTGTTTGTCCACCTCTGGACCCTAGTCTTATTCCAAAACTGAGTATTGGATCTTCTTCTTCTTCTTCTTCTTTTCCACCTTGTACCTCATCGAAGTTTCGGGGGAAGATGTAATGTACGTTGATGAGCTCAATTAAGAATGATGTTCATTTCTGTAAGGCTGTTCTTAATGCCATCACTCCATATTTTCCGAGGTCTTCCACTCGCTCTATACGAGTATTGTATGCACATCGTTATTGATAGATCTAGCCCATTTGCATGCAGACTGTTGATTCCTTGCCTAACAGGCAAATTTACTTCGACTTTGAAGGAAGCCCCCTATTAATTTACTCTTACGACATGTTTGTTGTGAAGGTTGTGGGACTATTCCTGGTTTCTTCACACTGGGGTCCCTGAACTCATGTGCGGAACCCGTTGAAAATAAAATGTGTTCATTCATTACTTCATTTACTCACAACTCTTATCCTTTGCTGTCGCAATCAGCTGACTCCATGTTCTCCCAGTCTTTATAATTTCACTCTATCAGTCTCTTCTGCATGTGTTTTTGCGTGTGTGTGTGTGTGTTTGGGGAAAGGGGAGGGGTCTTTTTCTTCTGTATACATCTTCAGCATTGAACATGTGATCATTTTGTGTTTGATTCTGCCCAAACAGGCCAACAGCTGTAAGCAGTGGTGGCTGGTGAGACACACAGCTGGCCTTCTAAAGAAGAGGATTGGAGATCTAGCCTTGGTATGTATGTTTGTTCTAAATTATAACAAGTCTAGACTCCAAGTCAAACAATGTTTGTTTTAGACCGTTACCAACTGAAGACCCCGAGTCAGGTAATGTTTGTTTTAGACCATTAACAACTGAGGACCCCAAGTCAGGGAATGTTTGCTTTAGATCCGTTTACAGCTATAGACCTCATGTCCAACAATATTTGTTTTAGACCATGAACAGCTGTGGAATCTAAATTAAACAATGGCTGCTTGTCACTGTTTTTAAATGAATATTCTTGTTATTTGTAGACTGTTTTAGTGTTCCAATTTGAATCTTGATGTTTGTTTTTATGTAGACTGTCACTTGTATATGTAGAGAGAACGTAATGGTGTTCTTATGTGAATCGATGTTTGTTTCTTTGTAGATTGTCAGTTGATGTTGTTTATATGTTAGGAGAACGTGAGTGTTGATGTTGTCTGTATGGAGACTGAGTGTCATGTTCTCTGATGTCTTAATGTTGTCTGTATGGAGACAGAGTGTCATGTTCTCTGATGTCTTAATGTTATCTGTATGGAGACAGAGTGTCATGTTCTCTGATGTCTTAATGTTGTCTGTATGGAGACCGAGTTTTCTTGTGAATCTTGATGCTGTTTATATAGAGACTTAGTGTCATATTGTTCTCATGTAAATCTTGATGTTGTCTGTATGAAGACTGAGTTGTTGTGTCGTGTGAATCTTGATGCTGTCTGTATGGAGACTAAGTGTCATATTGTTGTCATGGGAATCTTGATGTCTGTATGGAGACTGAGTGTCAAATTGTTGTCATGTGAATCTTAATGTTTTCTGTATGGAGACTGAGTTGTTGTGTCATGTGAATCTTTATGTTATCCTTATGAACACTGAGTGTCATATTCTTGTCATGTGAATCTTTATGTTATCTGTATGGACACTGAGTCTGATATTGTTGTCATTTGATTCTCGTTGTTGTCTGTATGTATGGAGACTGAAGTGTCATATTGTTCTCATGTAAATCTTGATGTTGTCTCTATGAAGACTGAAGTGTCATATTGTTCTCATGTGAATCTTGATATTGTCTCTATGAAGACTAAAGTGTCGTATTGTTCTCATGTGAACCTTGATGTTGTCTCTATGAAGACTGAAGTGTCAAATTGTTCTCATGTGAATCTTGATGTTGTATGTATGAATTCTTGAATGTCATATGTTTCTCGTGTGTATCTAGGCAGTCACAGATCTACTGGTCAGGCAAAAGCAGCTGTCAGTTGGCTTGCCGCCAGATAATGAAGTCATCATTGAGAGGTAAGATTCTCATTCTCAGGCAGACTGTGCAATCTACTTTGTTAATTGTATATGTGTAGCTATTCTGAGTTACTATCATGTCAGAGTCTAGGATGTATGTATAGACTGTTGTCTCTGGCTAGTTTAAAGTATAGATCATAATATTTACAGATAACGTTGTGCGGTGCTGGCTTCAAATACAGTCATAGGTCAGGTCTTGAATTCAAATCAGCATTGAGGGGGATTTTTATAACTGACAGTGGGCTCCTAGTTCAATCCAGCCTTTAGTGGGTGGAAATGTTCTGGGAAGTAAAGGCAATGAGGCCCCCCCCCCTGTGTGTATTCGGGGCCTTATTGTGTGGAATGGAGAGAATAGCCCCACTTAATAACCATGTCGTAAAAGTCAGCTGATTAGGGGTGTCTCTTTCAGAGTTAGAATGCATCTACCTGGCAGGCAAGGATCCAAAAGTCTGCTACAAATCAGTCAGATCTGTAAAATGGATGTGCACGCAAACCTCAATTTCTGAAACAAGACTAGAGTCTATAAATGGGTAAACAACCAGAACTTTCCACATATATATATATATTGCTACTTTGAAAACTATACACTTATGATTTGATTTCTTTTAACATGGTAATTTCTTTACTTTGGCACCGTCTATGGAATCTGCTGGTACTGAAAGAGTTTAATCATCACTCACACTGGGTAATGTGAACTGCGGTAGCGTAGTGGCTAAACTCTGGCTGCTGACATGAAGGTCTTGGATTTGAATCCACCAAAGATATATTTATTGATAAATCTCTCATTTGCCTGAAGATATATTCAATGATAAATCTCTTTAAATGGTCCTCGTTAATTGGAAGATATATTCAGGGATCAATCTCTAAAATGGTTCTCGTTAATCTGAAGATATATTCAATGATAAATCTCTTAAAATGGTCCTCATTAATTTAAAGATATATTCAGTGATCAATCTCTGAAATATGTCCTCATTAATCTGAAGATATATTCAGGGATCAATCTCTTAAATGGTCCTCGTTAATCTGAAGATATATTCAGGGATCAATCTCTTAAATATGTCCTCGTTAATCTGAAGATATATTTGGAGATCAATCTCTTCAGTATGTCCTCATTCGCCTGAAGATATATTCAGTGATACATCTCTTAAAATGGTCCTCATTAATCTGAAGATATATTCAGGGATCAATCTCTTAAATATGTCCTCGTTGACCTGAAGATATATTCTTCACTGATACATCTCTTTAGTATGATCTCATTTACCTACAGATATATTCACTGATAATGTCTTTAGTATGATCTCATTTACCTAAAGATATATTCACTGATAATCTCTTTAGTATATTCTCATTTACCTAAAGATATATTCACTGATAATCTCTTTAGTATGATCTCATTTACCTAAAGATATATTCACTGATAACCTCTTTAGTATGATCTCATTTACCTAAAGATATATTTACTGATAATCTCTTTAGTATGATCTCATTTACCTAAAGATATATTCACTGATAATGTCTTTAGTATGATCTCATTTACCTAAAGATATATTCACTGATGATGTCTTTAGTATGATCTCATTTACCTAAAGATATATTTACTGATGATGTCTTTAGTATGATCTCATTTACCTAAAGATATATTCACTGATAATCTCTTTAGTATGATCTCATTTACCTAAAGATATATTCACTGATAATCTCTTTAGTATGATCTCATTTACCTACAGATATATTTACTGATAATCTCTTTAGTATGATCTCATTTACCTAAAGATATATTCACTGATAATGTCTTTAGTATGATCTCATTTACCTAAAGATATATTCACTGATAATGTCTTTAGTATGATCTCATTTACCTACAGATATATTCACTGATAATCTCTTTAGTATGATCTCATTTACCTAAAGATATATTCACTGATAATGTCTTTAGTATGATCTCATTTACCTACAGATATATTCACTGATAATGTCTTTAGTATGATCTCATTTACCTACAGATATATTCACTGATAATGTCTTTAGTATGATCTCATTTACCTAAAGATATATTCACTGATAATCTCTTTAGTATGATCTCATTTACCTACAGATATATTCACTGATAATATCTTTAGTATGATCTCATTTACCTACAGATATATTCACTGATAATCTCTTTAGTATGATCTCATTTACCTACAGATATATTCACTGATAATCTCTTTAGTATGATCTCATTTACCTACAGATATATTCACTGATAATCTCTTTAGTATGATCTCATTTACCTAAAGATATATTCACTGATAATGTCTTTAGTATGATCTCATTTACCTAAAGATATATTCACTGATAATGTCTTTAGTATGATCTCATTTACCTACAGATATATTCACTGATAATGTCTTTAGTATGATCTCATTTACCTACAGATATATTCACTGATAATGTCTTTAGTATGATCTCATTTACCTACAGATATATTCACTGATAATGTCTTTAGTATGATCTCATTTACCTACAGATATATTCACTGATAATGTCTTTAGTATGATCTCATTTACCTACAGATATATTCACTGATAATCTCTTTAGTATGATCTCATTTACCTACAGATGTATTCACTGATAATCTCTTTAGTATGATCTCATTTACCTACAGATATATTCACTGATGATGTCTTTAGTATGATCTCATTTACCTACAGATATATTCACTGATAATCTCTTTAGTATGATCTCATTTACCTACAGATATATTCACTGATAATCTCTTTAGTATGATCTCATTTACCTACAGATATATTCACTGATGATGTCTTTAGTATGATTTCATTTACCTAAAGGTATATTCACTGATAATGTCTTTAGTATGATCTCATTTACCTACAGATATATTCACTGATAATGTCTTTAGTATGATCTCATTTACCTCCAGATATATTCACTGATGATGTCTTTAGTATGATCTCATTTACCTACAGATATATTCACTGATAATCTCTTTAGTATGATCTCATTTACCTACAGACATATTCACTGATAATCTCTTTAGTATGATCTCATTTACCTACAGATATATTCACTGATAATCTCTTTAGTATGATCTCATTTACCTACAGATATATTCACTGATGATGTCTTTAGTATGATCTTATTTACCTAAAGATATATTCACTGATAATGTCTTTAGTATGATCTCATTTACCTAAAGATATATTTACTGATAATGTCTTTAGTATGATCTCATTTACCTACAGATATATTCACTGATAATGTCTTTAGTATGATCTCATTTACCTACAGATATATTCACTGATAATCTCTTTAGTATGATCTCATTTACCTACAGATATATTCACTGATAATCTCTTTAGTATGATCTCATTTACCTAAAGATATATTCACTGATAATCTCTTTAGTATGATCTCATTTACCTAAAGATATATTCACTGATAATGTCTTTAGTATGATCTCATTTACCTACAGATATATTCACTGATAATGTCTTCAGTATGATCTCATTTACCTAAAGATATATTCACTGATAATGTCTTTAGTATGATCTCATTTACCTAAAGATATATTCACTGATAATCTCTTTAGTATGATCTCATTTACCTACAGATATATTCACTGATAATGTCTTTAGTATGATCTCATTTACCTAAAGATAATCTTTTAAATATGTCTCAGCCCCCAGAGACCAGATGACCTGGCCTCCCTTATCTTCAAGGCCTGTGGATCTGATTACAGCGTTGCATCCCTCACACAGGTGACCTTTTGTTTACTGTCTACATATGTGTGTGTGTGTGTGTGCGTGCGTGCGTGCGAGCGAGCGAGCGAGCGAGAGAGAGAGAGAGAGAGAGAGAGAGAGATGTATGGCGCCGCTGTGCAATCATTTATTTTATGGCCTCTCTTCTCTCCTCTAAATTTAAGATTGTTTTTGCCATTTTAATGCCAGAACAATAATTTAATGCGGGTTACATCATTTTAAAAGCAGTCAAAATGTAAACAAAATATTACTAGCAGTTATATTTTGTGGTTCCCGCAACATTGCCACCCTGTGCAAATGCAGATGGAGTTCTTGAACAGTGCAGACAGCAGATGGAAGCAGCAGTGGAGGAGGGATTTGCTACACTGACTTTCTGGTCTGCTGATAGTTTGGCTGGATCCGCTGTCACTACCGACGGTCAGCCTATGGATCATGCTGATATTATTAATGCCTTCTGAGAAATGGGAATGGTGGAGGACTCTGGGGGGCAGTAAATCCACACCACTTAGCAGAATGATACAATCAGGAGTTATGATCAGCACAGCAAAAACGAGACACACACCAGTCACTCAAAGGCCTTGTTAATCAACATAGAACTGGTACAATTATCCACCAGATGCTGGTGTTCATACTGAGGGGATGATCAGAGCACATATGGACATATCCAGAGTTCAGTGATGAAAACCCAACTAACTAACATGTTTTGTCTGCCAATCCAGTCTCCGCTGCCTGGCAGGCTGATGCACCATGCTTGACTACTATATACAGATTTATCTTCTGCAGCCTCCTATGTTTCTGTCTGATCATGCTGTATGCATCCTCAGATGCACCATTAAGCATCAGTTACCCTTATTACACTGAACAAAAGTGCTGGTACTCAAAATGTCTACAAAGGATGCTTGTACTTTTTATACCTAAAAAAAAAAAAACAATGCTTGTACTCAAAGTGTCTAAAATAAAAGGTGCCGGTACTCAGTGTCTGTAAAAATAAATCGAGACTCAAAGTGTCTAAACAGGTGCGAATACTCAAGTGTCTAAAATAAAAGGTGCTGGTACTCACAGTATCTAACACAATTTCGCCGGTACTTACCACAAATGTTTTTTATTATACTTCAGAAATTTTGACTTAAAAAATGTCTCGTTACTGTGTACCACAAAAATAAAAGTCCTGGTTGTTAGCCACTTGACGTTGTTTCTACCCACATCTAGGAACTCTTAGTTTATCTTGCCATCTACATCCGAACTGAACCGCGGCTGTTTGAGGACATGCTCAGAATACGGGTAGGGCTGATTATTCAGGTCATGGTGGCAGAACTCTCTAGGTCCCTGGATTGCTCAGGTGAGTCAGCAACTCACTTGTTTGTATGTTTGTTTCTAATCATGTCTGTGGTTATTTTTCAAATGCTTAAAGCACACTCTTGAATTGTTGTCATCAAGCTTAGGTTGGTTGTATTGTTGCTTACTTGGCTGTATGGTTGTATGGTTGTACGGTTGCTTCTTTCTTGGCTGCATGGTTCCTCACCTGGTTGTCTTGTTGTATGGTTGTAATGTTGCTTACTTGGTTGTATGGTTGTAATGTTGCTTACTTGGTTGTATGGTTGTAATGTTGCTTACTTGGTTGTATGGTTGTAATGTTGCTTACTTGGTTGTATGGTTGTAATGTTGCTTACTTGGTTGTATGGTTCCTCACCTGGTTGTCTCGTTGTATGGTTGTAATGTTGCTTACTTGGTTGTATGGTTGTATTGTTGCTTACTTGGTTGTATGGTTGTACGGTTGCTTCTTACTTGGCTGCATGGTTCCTCACCTGGTTGTCTTGTTGTATGGTTGTAATGTTGCTTACTTGGTTGTATGGTTGTAATGTTGCTTACTTGGTTGTATGGTTGTAATGTTGCTTACTTGGTTGTATGGTTGTAATGTTGCTTACTTGGTTGTATGGTTGTAATGTTGCTTACTTGGTTGTATGGTTCCTCACCTGGTTGTCTCGTTGTATGGTTGTAATGTTGCTTACTTGGTTGTATGGTTGTATGGTTGTATTGTTACTTACTTGGTTGTATGGTTGTACGGTTGCTTCTTACTTGGCTGCATGGTTCCTCACCTGGTTGTCTTGTTGTATGGTTGTAATGTTGCTTACTTGGTTGTATGGTTGTAATGTTGCTTACTTGGTTGTATGGTTGTAATGTTGCTTACTTGGTTGTATGGTTGTAATGTTGCTTACTTGGTTGTATGGTTGTAATGTTGCTTACTTGGTTGTATGGTTGTAATGTTGCTTACTTGGTTGTATGGTTGTAATGTTGCTTACTTGGTTGTATGGTTCCTCACCTGGTTGTCTTGTTGTATGGTTGTAATGTTGCTTACTTGGTTGTATGGTTGTAATGTTGCTTACTTGGTTGTATGGTTCCTCACCTGGTTGTCTTGTTGTATGGTTGTAATATTGCTTACTTGGTTGTATGGTTGTAATGTTGCTTACTTGGTTGTATGGTTCCTCACCTGGGTTTCTTGTTGTATGGTTGTAATGTTGCTTACTTGGTTGTATGGTTCCTCACCTGGTTGTCTTGTTGTATGGTTGTAATGTTGCTTACTTGGTTGTATGGTTCCTCACCTGGTTGTCTTGTTGTATGGTTGTAATGTTGCTTACTTGGTTGTATGGTTCCTCACCTGGTTGTCTTGTTGTATGGTTGTAATGTTGCTTACTTGGTTGTATGGTTGTAATGCTGCTTATTTGGTTGTATGGTTCCTCACCTGGTTGTCTTGTTGTATGGTTGTAATGTTGCTTACTTGGTTGTATGGTTCCTCACCTGGTTGTCTTGTTGTATGGTTGTAATGTTGCTTACTTGGTTGTATGGTTGTAATGTTGCTTACTTGGTTGTATGGTTCCTCACCTGGTTGTCTTGTTGTTTGGTTGTAATGTTGCTTACTTGGCTGTTTGTTTGCATGGTTAAATTGTTGCTTACCTAGTTGTATGGTTGTAATGTTGCTCACTTAGTTGCATGGTTGTTTGCTCGGTTGTGTTGTTGCTTACTTAGTTGTATGGTTGCTTTCTTGGTTGTATGAAAGCATGTTGTATGGTTATTTTGTTATATTGTTGTGTTGTTGTTTAGGTTTATCATATGTTGCTTGGTTGTGTGGCTACTTGTTTGTTTGGCTGCT